ATGCTCTATTAGGGTTTAGTTTTGAGCGTTTAGAGGGTTTTAGGTGTCAAAACATTTTTTAGGGTTTAGAATTTTAAGATATAGGTTTTATAAATCTATAATTAGTGACATTTTTGTAAATGGACACCGTTAAGTGGTATTCTTGCAAATGTGCACACAAAAAATGGCATTTTTGTAATTGCCTCCATTTAAATTTTTATTTTTTCTTTAAATATAGAGAATTTTAAAAAAATGACACACTTTTGAAATCTTTACAAAAATGCCACTTTTTCAAAATTATATTTTCTTTATATTATTTATGTTCGAGTTAATTATGTTCTATTATGGTTTAGTTATGAGGGTTTAGAGGTCAAAACATTTTTTAGTGTTTAGAATTTTAAGATATAGGGTTTAAAAAACTGTAATTAGTGGCATTTTTGTAAATGAACACCCCCAAATGACATTTTTGCAAATGTGCATATAAAAAGTGGTATTTTTGCAATTTCTCATTTTAAAAAATGCCACTTTTCAAGTGCCACTTTAAAAAAAGAGAAATTTTAAAAAATGCCACTTTTCAAATGCCACTTTACAAAAGTGTCACACTTTTGAAATCTTTAAAAAAATGCCACTTTTTCAAAATTATTGTTTCTTTATATTATTTATGTTTGGGTTAATTATAATATATTAGGATTTAGTTTTGAGTGTTTAGGGGGTTTTAGGTGTCAAAACATTTCTTAGGGTTTAGAATTTTAAGATATAGGTTTTATAAATCTATAATTAGTGGCATTTTTGTAAATYGACACCCCTAAGTGYCATTCTTGCAAATGTGCACACAAAAAGTGGTATTTTTGTAATTGCCACTTAAAAAAATGCCACACTTTTGATATATCCAATAAAATTTAAATAATTTCATATATTTATTCATTAGTTAGTTTAAATATTATATTAAAACAGACTTTTTTAATAAAAATATATGATGTTTTGAGTAATATGTTTATTTAAGAGAAATTTTAAAAATGCCACTTTTCAAGTGCCACTTTACAAAAATACCACACTTTTGAAATCTTTACAAAAATGCCACTTTTTCAAAATTATTTTTTCTTTATATTATTTATGTTTGGGTTAATTATATTCTATTAGGGTTTAGTTATGAGAGTTTAGAGGGGTTTAGGGATCAAAACATTTTTTAGTGTTTAGGATTTTAAGATATAGGGTTTAAAAATCTATAATTAGTGACGTTTTTGCAAATGAACACACCTAAATGATATTTTTGCAAATGAACACCCCTAAGTGGTATTTTTGCAAATATGCACATAAAAAGTGGCATTTTTACAATTTTCCCTTTATTTAAACATTAGGTGAAGGATCCGTATATATGCGGGTTTATGATTTTTTCTTTAATAAATCTCTCGAAAAAAGATTTAATTGTGATGAACAAAATCAGATCACCTATTAACATCAAAGTAAGAATGTTAATGCAAACTATTGATCGAGAAGAATATTATTTATTTAATTGAATTTTTATGTTTTTGTTATTTGATTTACAATTAAATTTTATCACATATTTTGATTTTATTAGTTTTTTCTATTCCTATTTAAATTTGATTAATTTTTACTTTAATATTATTTGACTATTCAAATATCTATTTTTGAAAATGTTGATGGATTATTTCTCATAATAAGATTTGAACTATTTTTACTCTTTCATATGTTATAACTTGCAAACAAAAAAATCAAAGAAATCAATCAAATATTTATCTATTTGTATAGGAAAAATTGCAAAAATGCCATTTTATATGTGCACATTTGCAAAAATGCTATTTAGAGATGTTCATTAGCAAAAATGCCACTAGTTATAGATTTTTAAACTCTATGTCTCAAAATTATAAACACTAAAAAATGTTTTGACCCCTAAACCCCCCTAAACCCTCATAACTAAACCCTAATAGAACATAGTTAACCCTAACATAAATAATATAAAGAAAAAATAATTTTG